ATTCAGTGGAGTCTTACAAATTCATGGTTTCTATGCATTTTCAATGCATTTTCAGACGCAAGTAGCAATAAGTTAAGCGATTAAACACTTACCTGTGCACTCCATGAAACGGCTGCCTCTGGTAGTTAAACAGTTGAAATGTGACCGGATTGTCCTATATCCAGTCTTCTGGGTTAGGGTTAGGGCTAGGTCTGCTTTCTTTGAGTGTTTCCTTGAGTTCAGTCGCTTATTGTCGGGGTCGTGTTATCCGTCTTTGCTAGTTCTGCTAACTTCTGATGCTCGCTATACTCAGTTGGAGGTTGTAATCTGAAGTGTCGTTTCTCATGAATGGTGTTAAAAGTTAAAATGGTGTTTACTTTGCTTCCCCCGATGAGTCATGTCAGTTTTTTGCAAGTAATATTGGATTGGTGCGAGTTAGGGATTGTAAAAAACGTACAAAATGTTTTCTTTTACATTGCAAGATATGGCACACACTCACTGTCGGCCAGTTTACAGGAATTTCGACTGATCTCTGATTTATATTTAGGCCAAAATATTGCCCAAATCTCATATATAGTCGATCGTTCATCCCTAATTCAGTCACCACAACAGATTTTATTGTGTGGCGACATGAGAGGATAACCTGAAAGAAAATGACAGAACGGTTCGACTTGTTGATTCACACATCTTCTAAGCCGCTTCTCCTTCTGGATCACGGGAGCATATCTCAGCAGTCATTGGGTGGAAGGCAGGATACACCCTGGACAGGTCACCAGTCCATCGCAGGGCAGACAGACAGACATATACATTCACTCACACACATGGGCAATTTAGCATGTCCAACCGGCCTGACTGCATGTCTTTGGGAGACACAGGGAGAACATACAAACTCCACACAGGAAGGACCCTGGCCCTCCTTGCTGTGAGGCGACAGCGCTATCCACTGCGCCACCTTGTTGATTCATTGAACAATAATTTCTAAAAATAATCAATTCTAGAAATAATAGTTTGACTCTAGAAAGTCAGATGGACAAACAACTGGATAACCGAAGAGACACAGGTCAGGAAGGTTAAAAGAGCTGTGACCACATGGGATATCAGAGCCACTGACCATGGAGTGGTGTCTACTTTTTTGTTTGACATTGGAAAAAACCCTTCATCCCCCAGGCCTTCAACCCAGAGTACACTCACACACACACACACACACACACACACACACACACACAGTATCAGATTCATTAGTCATGTTGTTTTCGTCACAGTCGGCCTTTGACCCCACTGGGTAGCCCGACTGGTGACTTTGATGAATGGCTAATGCAATCAAGACAAATTCATTAGATACACCAAAAACTACCACATACCTGGAGTCATCATACAGATGGGTCTGCATCTTCTAGAGTTACGCCATCCTTCAGCAGACACATTCCACAGCCCTGAGATTGACTATTAAAGACGAAGGAAAATAGACTCTCCATCATTTCCACAGTTTGTGTGTCTAGTTCTCAGTCATTATGTTACCTTTCCCACTTCTAATGTATCTGTGCTCATAAAGGTCTCAGAGTGATGATTTGGGATACGTTTTTGCACCATATGTTACTGAGCGCAATTATGTGGACACTTTGTAAACAGTCCTGGATCTGAGAAGGTTTACACATATGGACGCTAATGGAGCCTCGTATTGAGCGCGCTTCACTGTGGTTTATTTGAAGGACCTGAGGTTATTAATGAGGCTGCCATGTCTCATTACAGCACGATTAAGAGATCATATTGATCGCCTCGCAGGTTTGCTGCTATCTGCAGGTGAGAAAATACAGCACTGAGGCCTGAAAGCCTTTTTTTGGGTTTATACTCAATTGTACCTCATAGCTAGGTCTCTTAATGTCACACGATGCTGTCAGTCTGGGAGGGTAAAGGTTAGCATGTGCTTCCTTTGTGACATATGAAGGCCACTATCTTTTTAAGCTGATACTAATGCTAATGCTAACACACCCACAGTGGCTAACATCGCACTGGGTGATCGTGGGAGATGGAGGGCCGTACTACCCGCCCAGAGAGAGCGAGGCTAGTTATGCTGTCTTAGACTCCTGACCATGGATGGCTATGGCATCGCCAGGGAGTGAACCCATGATCTGCTGATGAGAGGGCCAGTGCTAAGACAGTTAGGTGCTAAATTTGCATGGTTTCCTCCTAGTGTAGTCGGTCAGTCAAGACATTTGGGGTCTGAAGTTTGCTTCTTTAGCTTTGAACTGGAGCTACAAGGCTAATGTTGCTTACAAGTCATGGAAACTAATGCGTAGCCAATTAGAATCATGAAAACTGCAGGCCTAAATCATAACATATTTGCCATATGAAAAAGTCATCTTAAATATACTTGCTTTTGTGTTTTTTTGTATGAAATACTGTCTATAAACTTAGAAAGGTGTAGGTAAAACTTTTTAAACTTTTGTCTTATTACATTATGTAGCTTTTTTTTTGTTTTTCTTCGGACAGCTGATGACTTTTTGCGAAATGTAGTAGATTTTTATTTAATCACAGGCCTTCCTGCTGCTTCCTTTTTCACATGTATATCACATGTTGAAGCTGGCTTCTGAAGCCCTCTCAAAGGGTGTTTATAATCCAGTATTCATGTACAGCGACTTTAAACACAATCAACAGGAGGTTGCAATTTCTTTTCCATAAATAAAACCGGTTTAGATATCATGATAAAATATTATTGTTGTCATATGGCAACAGAATGTGAATCTGCAGTACATGCAGTGGGACTAAATTAAAACATTTCCATTGCTGTGTATTGCTTCGTTGTCAGTTTTATGTATTGCTGATTACAGTTCTAGCACTGCACGTTGTTGCCATATGGCAACAAAATTCAAAACACCCCCCCCAAAAATAAAAAATGTATTATTTATGCTGTTTCAAATAAGAAAAATCACATTTTTCATACATGTCTTATAATTCATGCGGTAAAGGCTTAAAGAAACTATGCTTTTTAATGAATTCCTGATCTTTATTTATTGTTTATGCCATTTGTCAAGGAGAAATAAGACAGCGTAATGAATTTTACTAATGTAGGAGGTATTGTAATCATTAGGAGTCGCATGCGTGGTCTTTGTCAGCGTTGGATGGCAGTCTTGATGTTTTGGGAAACAAGAGCCTGTAGTTTACGAGCGTTTCACGGTTTTGTTTATTGCAGTGTAGCTCAGACATTTTCCACACTTAGATGTCCAGATGCCACAACCACGTTGCATTTGAACATTTTTGTGGCATTATTACACCATAAGCACAAAGGGCTGCATGGTGTATCATTTGTTTATTGTTATTGCAATGTTACACTGATACTGGAGAGGGCTGACATATGCAACCAAGCCCTTTAATAAATAGTATAAATAGTTCAGTGATCATTATCAGATGCTCCCCATAAGTGTTTCTGTAAGTGTTTTGATGTAGCAAGGCATTCATGTAATTTAACAACAGGAAATAATTTTAATCAAAATAAAAAAATCTGAAATTAATTATTACAATGAAGGTCACATTGCAATTGCAGTATGTAGCAATGAATCATGTTATGGAACCTGGACGTTGTTTTGAATGGAAATGGAAATGAGGCTATGACACCACGTTAAGCAATACTGCATTAAAGAGACAATGAACCAGATAATGGTTCTAATTAGAATAACATAATTATTGACTATTGGACTGTATGTTAAAAATGAAACAAATTAAAATAAGAGACTGATAAGATAAGAGGATGAGGGAGGGTGAGAAATGCCTTGTTTACAGTAAAATGTGTCCAGTATCTTGTAGAGGCTGACCAAGATATTGTTTGGCTTTTAACCCTCTTTTGCACAATGTTGCCTCAGGGCAACAAACCCATTTTCCTCACATTAAAATAACATTATCCATATTTAAAGACAAAGACAGGGTTAACAATAAAGGGAACAGTTTGAGTAAGTCAAAAAAAGCATGTTCCTGGTCTTACTATCTCTTAGTGGGCACTTTTAAACCTCTTTTTTTAACATTCAGTATAATTTTTTTTTTGTTATGAGAATTTGCAGAAAGATATTTGTTGCCTAGAAGCAACAATGTGTGACAGTGGAATTAATTTACCAATCACAAGCCAGGTTTCAACACTTCAGGGAACACACCTCTATATCATTTCTTCCCATTGTCGCACAATGTTGCCTCAAGGCAACATACCCCAAAATGACCCCTGCACACATTATTAAAAAAAATGTTTTGATATTTAATAATCAGGTCCGTTTTATGAAAGAAAAGTGAATCGAATATTATTTTTTAAATTGCTCTCATAACACGTGTAGCAGTATTATTTCTCTTAGTTGCCAGTAGTGCAGCAATAAGTAGCATCTTTTTTTCCTCATTGTGGCTCTACTGGGATTCAAACCCACAACCTCCTGGGGACAGAGTGAAACTTGCCAGTTGGGAGCTCGAAAAATAACAATAACGTAATAAAAGGAAACCAAACCAACCTGCACCAACCACCCCCAGTGCTACAATATTAATAGGGCTGCAACAAATTAGATTAAATGTGATACATTTGATAGTAAAAATACAAACCTGAGTTGAGGCAGGATGTGAAATGCTAAGAAAAACAGAAAGCAGTGAACAATAGATCCTCCTACCTTCATGATACATCATCAGAAGGGAGGAGGATGTGTTTAAACAGACAAATCTCACTCTGGAGACCACTGGGCACTGCAGTAGGGGGCGAGTAGGCATGTTTACAACAGATGTACTGATACATTTTTCATTTTGGCCAGTGTTCCTTTAAGCTCAGGAACCAAATGGAAACCTGTCTTTTATTTTTTCAATAAAAAACTGTATTTTTTATAAAAATGCTCCCAAAATGTCAACAATTCAAGTTTATCCTGTGGCACCTGGTCCTCACAAAGAGCTCAATACATGGCTACATACACAAGGATACATGTAGCTTTAGTCTTGCATTATATTCAGTGTGTCTTACATTCATTCATTCACTCATTTGTTCGATTCACTCTCTCTTTCAGATAACCGGATGATTAAGGTGAATGGAACGAGAGAGCCTTTGGAGTTTAAGTCCCATCAATGGTTTGGAGCCACGGTCCGAACACACAGGGGCAAAGTTGTGGTGAGTCCTTCTGGGAAATGTAGTCATGTGAATGTCTGTTAGAAGAGTTGCTGGTCGTTCTGATGAAAGTGTAGCGGGAGTGGTGAGTCATGTGTCCCCTCGACGGAAAAAAGCAAGATGGGTTTGTAATGTTTATCTTTCCATCAGCATGAATTGAGAGGCTGATCTGTGGGAAACATAGTCCTGTCTGACATTATGGGGCACGTGGTCTGATCTGTCGGATCTGGAGTTGGATGGCAGATGTAGTTCTGCGGTTAGAGGGGATATAATCACTGATAGGAAATCGAATTTTGCATACTGCGGGAATGTTGTTCTGTTTTCGAGCTATTAATGATGATGATGATGATGATGATGGCTTCCTGGAAAAATGAGCTTGTGGTTGACTTTTTAGAGAGACACTGGTGTTTCATATACAAGTTCTATAAAAAAAGCCCATAACTAAATGCTTCAGTCGTAAAGCGACTGATTGGCAGGAGCGCTTGCTTGTGTATACGTTACCTTGTGTTATATCATAACATGTACAGCACACTCTAGAATTATTGGTTTGTTTATTAGTTTTTATCAATAAATCAATCAACCTTTATTTAAACTCGGAGTACATTGAGGGAGACCCTCGTTTACAATATAGCCGAGCCAATACAAAGATCAGGGATTGAGAATTTAAATGGTAAAAACATAACATATGCTGAAAAGTAATAATAATCATAGTAGTGAATATATATATATATATATATATATGTGGAATTATTAATGCTAATGGCTTGGCTAGTAGGTTTTCCCATCATGCTAAGATGCAGTTTGTAGGGCTTTATCCTAATGATTGTTACGATGAGTTCATGTGTTTGACAGAGATGGGTGTGGTTATTTAAATGTGTACAGATATTTGAACTGAAGTGTTTGTTTACTTAATTGAGTATCAGAATAAAGCATGTGCAACTTTTCTGGCCAAAAATGTTTGCTCAGCATGCTCTGGCTTTAGATCCTTACCTTGTATTATTATTGCAAGCTTACCGTTGCTTTACTCGTGTGTGCTTGTGTGTTTCTCTGTGTGTCCGCAGGCCTGCGCTCCTCTGTATCACTGGAGGACAGTGAAGATGAGCAGTGAGATGGATCCAGTGGGAACCTGCTATGTTGCTGTGCAGAACTTCAGCGCGTATGCAGAATATTCCCCCTGCAGAACCAGTGAGTGTATACACACGCTCTTCCTTTTCTGTGCGCTGTAGTCTTAGGGTGCTGTTCCTGCTTCTCGCCTGAACGCCGTCAGTTACACACTGCTCATTCTCTCCTTTGCCCAAGAGAAGCCACAAACACAGTGACTCATTCATATACTGCACTGCTGGGCCATCATGTGCCCTGCTGTAAACAACGATCAAAGCAGGGGGTGGATGTTTATTCTGGTGCAATTTCCTGCCTGGCTTCTGTGCTTTGATGATTCTGTCCTGATATGAGAAATGGGAAGATTTGTACTGTGAAATCTTAATGAGATCAGAAAAGTTTTCCTACTTAGGTGTAATAGAACACAATGCTTTAATACCTAAAGCTGCATCCAGCGGTGTGAAAATTCTAAGTTATGCCCTCAATTCTTGCACCAAATAAAATTCACCGGCTGTTTTCAAACATAATCCCCCCTCAAGCATTGTCGGCAGGTCATGAGTTCTATTCCCAGAGATGCCACAGCCATCCGTGGCCTCACTCTCCAACCAGCCAATAAACTCACGGAAAAACGTGTGACGTAAGCATAATGTAAAACTCAAACTTCATGCCCTGGCGAAAACATCGCGGCACTTTACCTGAAAATATAAGCATATATCATTGAAAAGATGAAGAGTATTTAAATGCTTCATTTTGTCAAGCATGTATTTGGTTTCAGCGTTGCTCCAAAAGTGTTTTGCTGCATCTCGCGGCGACGCTGCTCGCTTATTTCCGGTACCGCAGTCTGTTTTCACACATGTGCAGCCTGAGAATTCCGAAAGAAATCAGAGTAAGAGTTTACATGCACTGAGAAATCTGATTAGTGAACTAAAACCCAGCTCTCTTAATCAGATTTCTAGACGTTACTCCGATCTAATAAATCAGAGTCAGAGTCATGCTGTTTACATGACCAGAATAAGCAGATAAGCAGAAGTCCGATGATCGGATTATTGAGTGCATGTAAACGCACTCATTGTCGGGAAGTTATGAGTTCTATTCCCAGAGATGCCACAGACATCCGTGGTTGGGAGTCCAAGAGAACATAATTGGCCTCGCTCTCTCTCTCTCTGGGTGGGTAGGATGGTGTTCCTTCTCCCCTCATCACCCAATGAGATGCCAGCCAATGCTGGAACATCAAAATCATGCTAGACTTTACTGTCCCAGCTTGGTAGCATCGTGTGATAAGGGTAGGCCTCGCTAACAGATAGGAACTGGTTAAATTGGAAGGAAAAAAATGGTGAAAAAAAATCCCTTTTTTTGGGATGTACACACTTTTTTGTGTATATTTCCGTTAAAAGTCTAAAAGTAATCTTAAAGTGTACTTTTAAAAATACTTCTGAATTGCAGCAAAATAATGAAATTAAATTTCAGGATGTCATGATGCACTGAATTGTTTCCTAAAGAATCATAATCCACTCAAAACTTTGTGTGGGCAGAGATTTACACCCCTGTCCGGCAGTATTTGTATGTGTGAGTGATGTGAATGCTTGCCAATAGACTTCACTCAAGCACTTTATAAATAACATATAACATCTTTAGCAGCTACTTAGTTCTACCATAGCAGAGCGCCTTTGACAGTGAGGGTGTGTAATGACTTTGGAAAGGGAATTAGTGGGAGGTATATGAGCCTCTAATGGCTAAATAGACCTCTCCACTTTCTGACAAACAGTATGAAGCACCAGCCGTCCGCTGGCAGGCCGCTGAAGCAGCAGTGCCAAAGCAGAGAGGCATGATGTTCACTGTTGACATTAACCAGCTCTGGAGCTTTACTGGAACTTTAAACACTCACTCACAGGCTGGTCACCGGCACATTTAAATTACACTAACATGACCTTAAGTTTTACGTTACATTAACTCCTAACTCTTCTTTACATTGGATTAGTAGTTCAAATATTCCAGCTGTCGTTTTATCAGAAACACCTACTTTCTATTTCTGCTCACTGGCCACTTTATTAGAAACACCTACCTTGTACTTTCGCTCACTGGCCACTTTATTAGAAACACCTACCTTGTATTTCTGCTCACTGGCCAGTTTATTAGAAACACCTACCTTGTACTTTTGCTCACTGGCCATTTTATTGGAAACACCTACCTTGTACTTGAACTCACTGGCCACACCTACCTTGTACTTCAACTCTCTGGCCACTTTATTAGAAACACCTACCTTGTATTTCCACTCAGTGGCCAGTTTATTAGAAACACCTACCTTGTACTTCCACTCACTGGCCACTTTATTAGAAACACCTTGTATTTCTGTTCACTGGCCACTTTATTAGAAACACCTACCTTGTACTTCTGCTCACTGGCCACTTTATTAGAAACAATTACCTTGTACTTCTGCTTGGTGGCCACTTTATTGGAAACCCCTACCTTGTACTTCAGCTCACTGGCTACTTTATTAGAAACACCTACCTTGTACTTGAACTCACTGGCCAGTTTATTAGAAACACCTACCTTGTACTTCAACTCACTGGCCAGTTTATTAGAAACACCTACCTTGTACTTAAACTCTCTGGCCACATTACTATGCTACTATATATGTGCGCATTTATGGACCACATCTGTTGTCATTCACAATGTGTCAGCTGCACTCTACCTCATTTGTGATTGGCTGACCACATGACTACTGCCAGATATTATTTGTGTGTTAGACCATTCTTAGCACAGAAATGACACTGACATGGTAGTGTGTGTGACACTGTGTGTGGAGCGGCACATGAGTGTATCAAGAGCGGTTCTGTGGTCCAAAACTGATCTGACTATTAGTAAAGGAGTGCAGCAGGAGAGTCCAGCACACTGTTTCTGCTCAAACAAGCTAATCTTGGTACATCACTGCTAAGTTGAATTAGGTGTGTTTGAGCGAGGAAATCACCAAACTGTGCTGGACACCAGCCATCAAGGAGAGAAACTGGACACCCTTGGCCTAGAAGATGGCTAACAAATTGTGCATGAACAGATGGGCTGCAGTCTCTTACTGTACAGCAGCAAGATAGAGCTGCAAGGTAGGGGTTTCTAGTAAAATGGCCAAGGACTGTATGTGTTTCATTGATATTCCGAATGTACTAAATGGTGCTGCTGCTTCCTGTGTAGATAATCCGGACCCTGAGGGACAGGGCTTCTGTCAGGCTGGCTTCAGTGTGGACTTCACCAAGGTAACAGCTCTCTTCATGTTTTATGCGTTTGTGCGTGACATGCAATCGTCCTCCTCTTTCTACTAGAAAAGGCCTCCCTCATCCTTCCTCTCCACCCGTCTGTGTTGTGAGATTTGAAGAGGGTGACACTGAAGAGGGTGAAAATGGGGTTAGGGAGGGAAAGAGAGCGAGTGACATTCAGAGAGAGCAAGAGGGAGAGAGAGAGAAGGTTGCATCTGGAGATGGATGTCATGCTGAACTCTGACCTCTCCTTCAGAACATAACAGAGGGAGCTGCAGGAAGAGGCCTGCTTCCCTTAAAGCTCTCTCTCTCTTTTTCTCTCTCTCTCTCTCTCTCTCTCTTTCTCTCTGTCTTTCTCTCTCTTTCTCTCTCTCTCTCTTTCTCTCTTTCTTTCTCTTTCTCTCTCTCTCTCTCTCTCTCTCTCTCTCTCTCTCTCTCTCTTTCTCTCTCTCTGGCTCTCTCTGGCTCTCTCTCGCTCTCTCTCGCTCTCTCTTTCTCTCTCTTTCTTTCTCACACAATGTTCGTTATTTCCACATTCATTAGGGAGGGGTATAAAACTTGGAACTGGCCGAAAATGTTGATTCAAAAATGGATCATTTTGGTCGGATTTAGAATTCTTTTTAAAACTTTTCCCTATCATGAAATACTTGTGTGTCCCTCCCGGCTTGGATGAGCGCACATAACAGGCGCACTAACGTCCACTTCAAAGCTTTCGCTTTGCCTTTAGCGCTTCATTTGACACCATGCGCTTATTTAATTATGTTATTTTTCGCCACAGCAAAAAAAAAAGTTTTTCAAATGTAAACATACATTCGGTTCACATCCCAAGATGTTGATCCAGTCAGTTTGCAAGTTTATAGATGCTTTTTATAGATTTTATAGAAACTGAAATGTTAGTTTGAAATATGGAGAGTATAAGCTCCTGAATAGGGGATAATATAAGGCATGAAGCTTAAGTGCGGTGTTTCATCTTTTCCGTTTTATTGACAAGTAAAACCAGCGAGAGCGCCTCCTTCTGGTCTATGAACTTTTGTATAGTATTCATCATGCCCTGATAATCAAAACCAAATCTTGAGCTTCTTTTTTTTATAGAAAACAGTATTTAGTACTGGTTTAAGGACCTATTAAAACATTTCTAATACATTTCTATAGAAATGCAAATTATTCTGCATTTCCCAGTATAAAATATAAAGCTTTCAGTTGCATGAAGATTCCTAGGATACAAATTAACTGAATATAAATGAGCTCTTAAATAATTACAGGTGCCTAATTGTGGAATCAACCAAGATCACACTGTGATTTTCAAAAGGTGGGACCAATTTTGCAAAAAAACATCACTAGGCTTTCTGGAAATCCTAAATATCCTAAATCCCTATGTACGTAGTAGCCTGACCAATGTGTTTCAGTCAGTTTCAAGAATTGGAAAACAGCAGCAGCTCTAATCCCGGGCTCCTTCTGAACTGCTAGGTCAAATATGTGTTGATTTGTCGGTTACAAGCTTCAAACAGCCAAAAATGTTCATGTGAATCGCTGTTAGCTCAATGCTAATACACCACTAGAAGTCGTGCTAGCACAGATTAGCATTATCATAGGTATTTTTTGCCTAATTTTTGAGCGAGTTTTCACTTTTATGGCCCGACCTTAAGGCCTGCCTCTAAAGGCCACCACACACCAGACGTGCCACGCAGCATCCAAACGCTAGTCGACTCCCAGCACTGTTCAGAATGTACCTTAGCGCACTGCTCAGCATTTTCCTTTACCGTGTTAAATCAAAGCCAAAGTGAGACCTTGAAAAGCCATATTGTATCACTGAGAAACACAGTCATTCTAAAATCAACACTTGACAAAGGCTAATTCCCTGTCGACACAGCTAATGTTTCTAGCCACTAGCCTGGTCATTTTTAGCCTCAGATCTTGTAACTCAAAAAAAAAGAGTTTGTGAAGAGTTAGCTGACGCCAAACGAGGTGAATTCATAAATGATTTTGAAAGTTTTATTCCTTTAAATGTAAACAAGAGTATAAAAATGAACTTGAGCTTGACGTTTCACACCGCGCTCACTGTGTGGTATAGCTGTGTATCTGCTATGTGATGCTGTTGATCATGTTGGTGTACATCTCTTCTGTCATTCAGTATTCCATGTGTGTCAGCACTAACCTACACCAGATGCACAGACACACACGGTTTTAAGCATTTGCACATAAATTATGTCAGTGTTTACACCCCATCCCTCACAGGCCAGTCAGCAGCAGTGACACCCAGTTAGACTGTGCCCACATGCATGCACAACTTTAAATCACTCTTTTCCCATAACAGACACACACACACACACACCCACACACACACACACACACACACACACACACACACACAGTTGTGACTTATTCCCCTCAAGCAAAACACATTTTGCCAGTTGGTTCAAGAGCACAGTAAATACAGTGTGACCCAAGCTATTAATTCAGAATATCTTAGACAATCACATGAAAACATTTGACTGTCCCCAATAAATAAACCCTTAGAAAACCCGTTTAGAAAAGAATGACCACATCACTGTAGCCACATTGCATAGATGGACATGGGTAAAAGCTCATGTGTCTGAGTACTCATGTTGTGTGTATAGCACACTGAAAGCTTTATGTGCACACGATTTTAGTCATTCTGTGAAGGATTGGAACTGGCCCACTTTAAGATGGGACGCATAGGATTAGGCGATATCCACTTGCTTAGCTCCTTGTCATTCTATGAAAACGTCCATTTTCATGTCCCTAACGTTTACAGATATATTCCACTTGAAAAACATGTTAGAGTTACAAATTATTTACATTTTAAAATAAAACAATACGTTATTTTAACAGTTACACCTTCTTGAGCCTCAATTCAGCAATATTGGTTTTTAAATTAATTATCTAGAATTCCAAACATACAAAAATCTAAATAAAACATCAAATCTAGCATGTGCAAAAGTTATGGCACATGATTTATTTATTAATTTATTAAACCTTTTTGAACACGTTAAACTCAGCAAATAAATAGAAATGTTAAATAAAAATGAAAAGTAAATAAAAATGTTTGTTCTCTGCAGATGATGTAATTTTCTCTTTGAAAATCAACAAAATGTCATTTTTTGAGTGTTCAAACTTTTACATACTACTGTACTATGAACTTTCACTATAGGCAATACCATTTACAGTGTCCAGTGTAGTTGTGCTCAAACTAAACCCAAAAATACATGAATTCTTAGAAGCTTCGGGTTGTTTTTATCTTGCTTTACTAAAACAAATTCAAAGAAGTAATCAATTGCATAGTCAAATAGTGAATTATATTTCCATTTCTTTTCTTATTGACAGGTTTAGGTATGTACATTTGACTGTTTTATGTCTCTCAGTGGCAAAAACATGGCAAAAATATAAAGGCAAAACATGCTAATCATTCAGTCCCTTTCATTAAATTCAAATCATCATAAATTGATTAATCGTTGCAATTAAAATTTAACGTTGTACAGAAATAAAGTCAGCATTTACATCTTTTTCTTTAAGAATGAAGTACGTAACTATATTGATTAATGTTGCAATATTTTTACAACATGTTTGGGACAGATTCAGGTGTGGAGAGAAGTAAGTCATTGATTATGATTTGTAGTCAACATCAGTTATTATAATAATATAAACATTGTCATACCACAACATTAATGTCATTTGTATGGGCTGTGGCTGCTTTAGTTTATTTGATTTAGATTTATAGTGGCAATGCTTTCTGTAAATGTGCCAGTTTAGCCAGTTTGGCTAATTTTCAGCTGATCTTCCATGTCGCAGTGGAGGCTTTGATAAGTGGAACGAATGTTTACACTGTTGTAGACACTAATCACCCAAACACTACTCTGATTGGGTAGATGCATTGCAGATAGCAGATTCATTTGCATAAAGTTCAGCTCTGCTCAACTGTTTTAATGCACTGCGTCCCCCAAATTTGGCTTGTTGTGGAACCGAAGCTTTCCTTAGAAAATGAATAGGATTTGTTGTGGTGCTGTGGCAGAGCAATGTAAATGCACAGTCAGACAAAAAGGCTTGAGCTGATTCCCTGTGATGACTGTGACTCTAATAGTTACGTATGGTCAAAGTATGTTTTTTAAGTGTGCTTGTTCTTAGATCAGCTTCCCAAGAATGCTCAGATTTTCTACACTGATATACTCGCAGTGTGGCATTACAAAAGTTCGCCTTTCTCTGGTTCTAATGTCGATTACATCTCTGTCCGCTTTTTCAGGAGGGGACGTTAGTAGTTGGAGGACCGGGCAGCTTCTACTGGCAAGGTAACGCACTTCTCCTCTATTCTTTATACGTCACTCCATCCTCTGAGTGCATTCAATCAGTAACCAGCCTCTGAGACTAAAAGGCTGTGTTACTTGAGCTCTTCTCCGAGGACTTTTAGAATTCACGTCTCAGCCAAGAGAATGGAAACCCCCCTCCTCCACCTGTAGCTTTCGGAGAGCGCGACTGGAAAGGTATTCAATGAAAGAGAGAGAGGTGATGCGTCACCTTCCCACGGGCCTCGTTAGCAGGGAAGTCCAAGTTAACCTCTGCGTGTTCCTGGCTTCATTACTGCCAATAGAGAGCTCTCAATCCTCACCAATGCATTTACTCATTCACAACGAAAGCGTGATTGATTATTACGACTGGCTAGAGGGAACACAGTGGCCAGGCTAAGTGTAGCAAACAGTGGGGGGGTAAATAAACGTCTTTCTATGGTCAGTTGCATTACTGTTGGCTCTGAGTCCATTTGGTAATCATAGGACTTATGCACTAATGACTGGTTGCTAATGGACAATCCCCTGTTTGTCCAGAGCTAATATTTCCACTCAATCCATGATGAAACACATTAGTTTGGAATAAAGAGAAAGATGATGTGTTTCATCTTCTTCTTCTTCTTCTTCTTCTTATTATTATTATTATTATTCATTTTTTTAATTTTATATGATGGTTGCATGCCCTGCGATGGTCTGGCAACCTGTCCAGGGTGTATCCTGCCTTTCGCCCAATGACAGCTGGGATAGGCTCCAGCACCTCACCGCGACCCAGAAGGATAAGCGGTTTAGATGATGTATGTATGTATGTATGTATGTATGATGGTTGCATTTCATGCCTTATTCATCCTGTCCAACAAGCATAGAAAGTTCACCTTGGACCGCCCCTCGGTCTGCCCATCTGTATAATAGCTCTTTTCTCCTGGGTCCCAAAAGAGGTGTAATATTAAGGACTCAAGAGAGAGAGAGCAAAATTTATAACATAACTATGTAGATCGCAATAACAGCAGGCCATCAAAGCAAAACAAATGCTAGCACAAGCAGTTCAAACAGCTGTCACATTAGCTGTTGCTAGTTAGCCACTTTCTAATTAATAAAACCACATTATGAATTTTTATTATTAATATTTTATGAATTATTTTTCCACATAACTCAGATTAACCTAGGACACTGGGTTAACCCTGCGTTTAAAATGTTGTGTGTGGAGCTGCTGGCGAGCAATGTGGGATGAAAAGGGAAGGATTAGGAAGAAATTCAAGCTTTCTAAAGTAAACAAGTCACAATAAGAAACCGTATTTTTAAACACAATAAAAACACAAATGTTGACTTGCTTGCTCATCTGCAAAGACAAAAATTTAAATGTTATTTTAAAAAAAATATTCAAATGTTTCAAAAAAGTTCAAATGAGGAACCTCCAAAAAACAGGTGAATTTTTTTTTCTTTTGGCTACAGTGAAAAAGGTTTAGGCTTACTGATTACCAACAAATAATGATTGGTTAAAGTCAACCTAAAATTGACCTTTATTCATGTCACAGGTCATATTAATCATTATTCACCACATCATATTTAAAAAACAAAATTATTGTTTTCCAGTAATATTCAATCAAAACGTGATGTCTTTTGCCTGCTTTACGTCACCGTGCACCAGGGCAAATAATACTAAAGCTATGCTATGTAAGATTTGGGGATTTGGGGACCTCTCTGGTGGAAATGTGTAATTGCATGCAATATGCGGAAGAACATTTTGTAGCATCAGCTGTGCTTCCAACCTCTTCCCCGAGCAGATGAATCTGATGATTGCGAGTGTGTTGACAGTATGAAAGACGTGTCTTCTGAAGATGTAAGTGAATTATCTAGTCTTGTCCTCATAACTTCAAATCTTCAGTCTGTTGATTTTCCTTTTGAGAACTAAACATCGAACGAAATCTAACTAAATCTAACTCTGACCTTTAAATGACTATTCCAGGCTTTTTAGTTGTGTTTTGTGTTTTGTTTCTCCTCTCAGCTACTTCTTTCAATTTTAACAAAAAAAAAAAAATCAAGTTTTAACCATCATGTTTCATCTTCCACTCCTTCTATACCAACTTATTATCATATGAAAACACTCAGCTAGCCCCTCAGAGACCCTTACCCAATACCGTGTGAAACCGTGTAAAATGCGTCACTGGATGGAAGGAAAATTGTTTACCGACTCGTGTTGGATTTGAGCCTCGTAAGACCATCACATAGGTTGCAAACTTTGACTTATTTCTCCTTCTTAACTGTCAAAGAGGCGTCCTCTATTTTATTCCCTCATCCATGATATGTTGATTGAAATCAGTCAATTGAAATGGGTTTCTTTGATGTAATCGTGTGGTCAGTAATGCAGTTTGGTGGGACTGTTTTATGAGTTTCAAAATTTCAAGTGAATCGTAGGAGACTTTACATTATGCAGTGTAAGTGAAACTGTGCATTTCACGCAACTTGCATGTAAAGCTGGACTAATCGTTGTTAAAGATTTCCCCTCTTCACAGAGCACGAATAGGCTGTTGGTCAAGATTTAATTATAGAAACTAAATGAGGCACAGCAGTGTGATCTGTGCCCTTGTGTGTGTTGTCGTGTGAAAGACGTGTGTGTGTGTGTTTGTTTGCACAGTGATAAATACTGATTGTTGGATAATTGCAGTCATGTGTGTATGAACACATGCATGTAAATGAAGTCATTCACTTAGACCCCCCACATCACTCTTGCTATGGGCATTTAGGCCTCCTGGACGTTGGGGATATGAGGCACCTTCCGCTCTGCTTGTGCAGTGCATAGTTCTGCTTCTGTGGCACTTTGTGTGTCTGTGTGAGAGAGAGACATAGAATATAGAGTTACATTAAAAGGAATGTTCAAAATTGTACAAATTAAAAAAAAAAAACTACTGGGAATGTGTTTGGACAAACGTATAAGAAATATTATCACACTTTGGTGGGTTTTAGGAGTACAGCTGAGCAATATGGCCAAAGGCTATTGTCACAATACTTTTTTAATGTATTTTTTATGACAACTGATAAGTTTTAAAGTGCCAGGTTTCAAAAATACTATCAGAAATAATGAATAAATGATTTGAAAATACCCAGAAAAGCCTACTGTGACATAATTTCATCAAAATAAAAATAGATATTCTCATTTTGTCAGTATTACTGTAGTATTATGTCCTGTAGGAGTATTACTGTAGTATTATGTCCTGTAGGAGTATTACTGTAGCACTGTGTCCTGTAGGAGTATTACTGTAGCACTGTGTCCTGTAGGAGTATTACTGTAGTATTATGTCCTGTAGGAGTATTCCTGTAGCACTGTGTCCTGTAGGAGTATTACTGTAGCACTGTGTCCTGTAGGAGTATTATTGTAGTATTATGTCCTGTAGGAGTATTAATGTAGCACTGTGTCCTGTAGGAGTATTACTGTAGTATTATGTTCTGTAGGAGTATTCCTGTAGCACTGTGTCCTGTAGGAGTATTGCTGTAGTATTATGTCCTGTAGGAGTATTAATGTAGCACTGTGTCCTGTAGGAGTATTACTGTAGTATTATGTCCTGTAGGAGTATTACTGTAGTATTATGTCCTGTAGGAGTATTACTGTAGTATTATGTCCTGTAGGAGTATTGCTGTAGTATTATGTCCTGTAGGAGTATTACTGTAGCACTGTGTCCTGTAGGAGTATTACTGTAGTATTATGTCCTGTAGGAGTATTAATGTAGTATTATGTCCTGTAGGAGTATTAATGTAGCACTGTGTCCTGTAGGAGTATTACTGTAGTAATATGTCCTGTAGGAGTATTACTGTAGTATTATGTCCTGTAGGAGTATTAATGTAGCACTGTGTCCTGTAGGAGTATTGCTGTAGTATTATGTCCTGTAGGAGTATTACTGTAGCACTGTGTCCTGTAGGAGTATTAATGTAGCACTGTGTCCTGTAGGAGTATTACTGTAGTATTATGTCCTGTAGGAGTATTACTGTAGTATTATGTCCTGTAGGAGTATTACTGTAGTATTATGTCCGTAGGAGTATTACTGTAGCACTGTGTCCTGTAGGAATATTATGTCCTGTAGGAGTATTACTGTAGTATTATGTCCTGTAGGAGTATTACTGTAGCACTGTGTCCTGTAGGAGTATTAATGTAGCACTGTGTCCTGTAGGAGTATTACTGTAGTGTTATGTCCTGTAGGAGTATTACTGTAGTATTATGTCCTGTAGGAGTATTGCTGTAGCACTGTGTCCTGTAGGAGTATTACTGTAGCACTGTGTCCTGTAGGAGTATTGCTGTAGTATTATGTCCTGTAGGAGTATTAATGTAGCACTGTGTCCTGTAGGAGTATTGCTGTAGTATTATGTCCTGTAGGAGTATTACTGTAGCACTGTGTCCTGTAGGAGTATTACTGTAGCACTGTGTCCTATAGGAGTATTGCTGTAGTATTATGTCCTGTAGGAGTATTACTGTAGCACTGTGTCCTGTAGGAGTATTGCTGTAGTATTACGTCCTGTAGGAGTATTAATGTAGCACTGTGTCCTGTAGGAGTATTGCTGTAGCATTATGTCCTGTAGGAGTATTCCTGTAGCACTGTGTCCTGTAGGAGTATTGCTGTAGCATTATGTCCTGTAGGAGTATTCCTGTAGCACTGTGTCCTGTAGGAGTATTACTGTAGTATTATGTCCTGTAGGAGTATTAATGTAGCACTGTGTCCTGTAGGAGTATTGCTGTAGTATTATGTCCTGTAGGAGTATTACTGTAGCACTGTGTCCTGTAGGAGTATTAATGTAGCACTGTGTCCTGTAGGAGTATTACTGTAGTATTATGTCCTGTAGGAGTATTACTGTAGTATTATGTCCTGTAGGAGTATTACTGTAGTATTATGTCCGTAGGAGTATTACTGTAGCACTGTGTCCTGTAGGAATATTATGTCCTGTAGGAGTATTACTGTAGTATTATGTCCTGTAGGAGTATTACTGTAGCACTGTGTCCTGTAGGAGTATTAATGTAGCACTGTGTCCTGTAGGAGTATTACTGTAGTGTTATGTCCTGTAGGAGTATTACTGTAGTATTATGTCCTGTAGGAGTATTGCTGTAGCACTGTGTCCTGTAGGAGTATTACTGTAGCACTGTGTCCTGTAGGAGTATTGCTGTAGTATTATGTCCTGTAGGAGTATTAATGTAGCACTGTGTCCTGTAGGAGTATTGCTGTAGTATTATGTCCTGTAGGAGTATTACTGTAGCACTGTGTCCTGTAGGAGTATTACTGTAGCACTGTGTCCTGTAGGAGTATTGCTGTAGTATTATGTCCTGTAGGAGTATTACTGTAGCACTGTGTCCTGTAGGAGTATTGCTGTAGTATTACGTCCTGTAGGAGTATTAATGTAGCACTGTGTCCTGTAGGAGTATTGCTGTAGCATTATGTCCTGTAGGAGTATTCCTGTAGCACTGTGTCCTGTAGGAGTATTGCTGTAGCATTATGTCCTGTAGGAGTATTCCTGTAGCACTGTGTCCTGTAGGAGTATTGCTGTAGTATTATGTCCTGTAGGAGTATTACTGTAGCACTGTGTCCTGTAGGAGTATTGCTGTAGTATCATGTCCTGTAGGAGTATTCCTGTAGCACTGTGTCCTGTAGGAGTATTGCTGTAGTATTATGTCCTGTAGGAGTATTCCTGTAGCACTGTGTCCTGTAGGAGTATTGCTGTAGTATTATGTCCTGTAGGAGTATTACTGTAGCACTGTGTCCTGTAGGAGTATTGCTGTAGTATCATGTCCTGTAGGAGTATTCCTGTAGCACTGTGTCCTGTAGGAGTATTGCTGTAGCATTATGTCCTGTAGGAGTATTACTGTAGCACTGTGTCCTGTAGGAGTATTGCTGTAGCATTATGTCCTGTAGGAGTATTAATGTAGCACTGTGTCCTGTAGGAGTATTACTGTAGTATTATGTCCTGTAGGAGTATTACTGTAGTATTATGTCCTGTAGGAGTATTACTGTAGTATTATGTCCTGTAGGAGTATTACTGTAGTATTATGTCCTGTAGGAGTATTGCTGTAGCATTACTGACATTGCAGATTCGTACTGCATTAAAATGCAGTATTCACTGAAATCACTGTACTTCCGTAGGTAAAACTAATCCAGTAATGGTGCAGCTAGCAAAACGATAGATCTCTCTCTCTCTCTCTCTGTCTCTCTGTCTCTCTCTCTCTCTCTCTCTCTCTTTCTCTCTCTCTCTCTTTCTGTCTCTCTCTGTTTCTCTCACTCTCTCTCTTTTTTCTCTCTCTCTCTCTTTTTCTCTCTCTGTCTCTCTCTCTCTCTCTCTCACTCTCGCTCTCTCTCACTTCCTCTCTCTCTCTCTCTCTCTCTCTCTCTCTCTCTCTCTCTCTCTCTCTCTCTCTTTTTATAAATGCACACATGCACACGCCCTCTGACAGTCTCACACACACTAATCTTGATTTTGTGGATAGTTACAGACTAGAGGTCATAAAGCCGTGCTCCCTCTGTCCTCTCCTCCTTTCCCACGCTCCATCCGTCCTGACCATGTGAACTACGTCTCTTCTTCATTTATTGAAAAGGGGTGTTTGTAACATGAACAGAGAGGTAGAGGAAATAAAGAGAATGAGAAATGTCTAAAAGCTTGTGAGATAATGCTTGGTGTTACCAAGAACCCCCCTAACCCCCCAAACTACAGAAATGTGTGTGCATATATATATATATATATATATCATAAAATACTGAGTATATCACTGCTGTTAAAAACCTTTTATCTCCATTTTTGTTATTTTTCAGTTTTTGACATAATTTGAAAACGCCTGTTGCTCTTTATATTGTGGGTAAATTTCATGCTGAATGGACCAAAAGAAACAGCCCAAAATTACTTGCAAAAACATCTGGTTCCATTGACTTACATTAAAAGTAAAGTAGGTTTTTTCCTTCTCCTGTAAAGTTACCATTTTGGAGATACAAGGTCCTTCCGACAACAGCGATATGGTGGATATTGTCAGTGCTTATGTAACACTGACCAACTGCAGGTTTTGTTACAAAAACAGCATAAATAGACCTGGTTAAGCAGTGAAATGAGATACATATTGAAGGGCTGGACGATGAATCGTTTTTTATTTTTAAATCGCAGTTCAGAAGAGTGCAGTTTTCAGATCTCAGTAGTTTTATAGCCAACATTATCAACAATGTTGTCTTAAGTGAGGAAATTTAACCTAATAACTACATGTTTACAAGTTCACTGCATTCAGTGTTCAAGCCTCAAACCAGTGAAAATGCATATGATGGTGTTCTTAGATTAAAAAAGTCTGTGATCACAAACATAAAACATCTAAAGTGAATTTTGCCTTTTGTTGTCCCTTTAATTTAAGTGGGATCTCTTCAGGAAAATATTTGAGTGCAAATTAAATAAGAATCCATAATTGTGGATTCAGTTTTAGAACCTCAGTTTAAGTTTCGGTACTTAGTTTTTTGCGAATAGGTTGCAGCTTTTATTTAGTCCTTTGAGCATTTAGCTTAAAACTACTCTGTGTAAGATTTGAGGGCCCAGAGCGCATGAATCTGATGATTGCGTTGGAGTATTTATAGAGAACTCAGCCAAAACTATCTATCATTGACATCATTTTTTCATCAGTATGATGTTGATTGAGCCTGTTCGTGTGACACTAATACACAAACTCATATGATGTGGTCTGAAAATCTCCTTTGAAATCTTTGTTTACGATCCAAAACCACCACTGAACCTACACGTCATCTGAGTGTATGTATGTAATGCTGATAGTGGCAAAATAGTGGAAAAGATTTCTTTGGGGACTATTTTGCCTCACAACACCCTGCATGTACCAGAATGTATAAAAAAAAGTTTATTAGTAAAACAGTGTCTCAGACATCAGGCAGCAAATTCATAACCATTTCTTGCACTAACTGTCTGTGAGGGAGCTTTTAGAGGTGGACGTCTGGTTCCTATCACCACCACTGTGAACAGTTCTGGCTGGGTCAGTTTCTCTAGAACGGAGCATTTCACACCAAACCACTCTGAATGGCTGTTTTTACATCTTAGCAATTGAATTGTACAGAACATTTTTAAAATGGCAGAATTCTCCCTTGTATTTTTAGAAGGTATTCGCACGTCAGGCCGCAAGCAGATGTTTCAGCTCTAACTTATCTTGTATCATAAAAAGAGTGTTTTTCTTTGTACTGACAGTATTTCTTCTGAAGCTTGTGGATATACACAGGCAGAAACACACACACAGACACACAGACGTACATAGAGAGATGAATGGTTGGGGCCCAGGTCAGCCTGCAGTTCTGCTAATAAAAGAGAATAATGAGTTTGTCTAACCTTCAGTGGGAAGAAAATACAGTCTCTCTCTCTCTCTCTCTCTCTCTCTCTCTCTCTCTCTCTCTCTCTCTCTCTCTCTCTCTCTCTCTCTCTTCCTCTCTCTCTCTCTCTATACAGTTTTGTCTTGACTTCAGAGAAGCATGTAGGGTTTGGTTTCCTGTTTGGCTGTTTCATTTCTGATTATTTTCCTTCTTTTTCAGAGAGATAAGCCTCTGTGCTCACATACATGTGACTGAGTATCCTAAAATGATCATTTACTACCAAATTTCAATACCTAAGTAATCATGTCCTTAATGTTGGAGCTTCTTAGATTCTTTATTTACTTGACAACAGCACAAAGAAGAGATATTTAATAATTTACCTCATCAACTTTATAGAGTTTTGTAAATGTACGCTCCAAAATTTCTCCCCAAAATTCAGTCCAATTCTGGGACAGCGGCAGTGTAATACTAGGAAGTTTGTGGAATGATCAAAAAAACCTGTTTGGGAACTTTTCCAATGTAAACAGCTAAATAGGTAACCGGAGATGCTGTATGATTATAGAAGGGCAGAATGAAAGCCATATAGCAACAATATCCAGAAACGCCGCCGACTTCTCTGGGCTAAAGCTCATCTGAGATGGACTGATGCCAATTGAAAGTCTGTGCTTTGGGCCAATGAGAAAAAGGACCATCCCGATTGTTACCAGCGTAAAGTTCAAATGCCAGCATCTGTCATGGTACGGGGGTTGTGTGTTAATGGGTAACTTGCACAAATGTGGAGGCACTATTAATGCTGAGGGCTATAGATGCATTTTGGAGCAACATGCTGGCATCTAGACTACGTCTTTTTCAGGGACACTGCTTGTTTCAGCAGGACAGTGCCATGCCACATTCTGCATGTGTTCTGTACTCTGTAGTAAGGGAGTGCAGGTGCTAGACTGGCCTGCCTGGAGTGCTTTATGAAGAGCAGTATGTGACAACAGAGACCTCAGACTGTTTAGCAGCCATAGTGTTACATCAAACAACAATGGGGGGAAAAATCTGCTTTCACAACTACAATAATTGGTGTCTTCAGTTCCCAAATGATTACTGAATGTTCTTCAAAGTAAAACATAAACGTGCCCCCGTCGCAACTTTTTTGGAACATGTTACAGGCATCAAATTTAGAATAAGCGTATATAAACACAAAAACAAATCAGTCGTTGAAATATTCAGTATCTGTTTTCAGTTAAAAGGGTTTGTAAATCATTGCCGTCTGTCTTTATTCACATTTTTCCAACTGTTCCAACTGTTTTCACAATTGGGTTTTAAGTCAGGGACAAGTGTGTTTGCTTGCATCTTTCTGTACATATGTTAACCTACGGTGTTTCTGTGTGCATGTTTAGGTCAAGTCATCACTGCAGGAGTAGCAGAGATTTTAAATGGCTATTCTCTGAAGGCTGTTCTCCGAAAAGTGCAGGGAGAAAAACAGACAGGCGCCGCGTCGGATGCCTATGACGACAGCTACCTGGGTAAGACTGTGTGTATGTCTCTCTGGATAGGCCCTTTTTCACATTTCCGCATTTTTTCTGCTGGAAGTAGTCGTTTGCAGGGTAACGCTGCTTCCACTAAAGCAATTACAATAACAACGTTGACGAGTTGAGCGTATACAGCTTACTTTCTACTTAAAAGAACCTCTGCATTTCACCGCTGCTGACTAACGTCACACTGAATGCAGTTTGTGCTTTAAAGTTGCTGCTGCAGCCGCTTTCAGAGGAACAGTTTTCATTTTCTCCCTCAAAAATGATCAGCGACTGAGAGAGCGAGCGCTCGGTGGAGAGTTGATGTTCGTTCACTGGTGCCAGTGTTTCCACCTTAAATGGTGCCTGAGCCGCCAGAATGTAACTACTGCACTATTTAAGGTGGAATGGGAAAATTTGAACAAGAAGTTGACTTCAGCCTCACGACTTTTTAGTGTTTGACAGTTTCTCGTTGCAGATTAGAAGAATCGGGAAACCAGCTGAGTGCTTATAAACGCAACAAGAAACCGTCTACAGTGGCGCTACGGACGCTGATGACCCGGCGTGCCCCCCTGTAGGGATGTGCATGCGTTCAGCTTGTTGCCGCTTTAACTAGTTTATTGTTAGCGAGCTGTTTCAACATCTCCGGCTAATATGGCTAACCTAGCGTTTTGGGTTATAGTTATTTTCACCTCTCCATTGGTTGATCACTCTGTAGACGTTAGCTCACGTTATTGTTCCCTGATAGCTGTGCAGGAGTTTTTTCGAATCATTTATATCATATTTAGTTTGGACTCCCACATTGTTGTGTGTTTGGTTCCCCAACCATTCTGGGCAGATCCTCGAATTTCAGTCTTGGCAAGAATGTCAAAGATAAGGTGGCACACCTTTCTGTGGTGGCTGAAGTGATATGAACGCCTGTGTTTCTGAGGTTAGCAACTGTCCGAAAGGCAACAGCAGAACTTTTTTTTACCCAGCGTTTATGCACTTCCGTTACTTGTGAAAAGGGCCTATGCGATCACTACATTTGAAATACGCTGTACAGTATGTAGACAGTGGCTCATACACTGGTTCTTCTGAAATCAAGGGGATTAATCGGGAGTTTGTTCTCTCTTTACTGCAATAACATCTATGGTGGTTGGTATAGTGTAGTGAGTAACACCTCTGCCTTCTACACTGTAGACTGGAGTTCAATCCCCACCTGGTTAGGCCCCCAACACTGTACCAGTAAGAGTCCTTGGGCAAGACTCCTAACACTACCTTCACCTACCTGTGTAAAATTATCAAAATTCTAGATAAGAGCGTCTGCCATAAATGTAATAGCCTCTACTCTTCTGGGAAGGCTTTACACTATATGTTGGAACATTGCTGTGAGGATTTGATTGCAGTCAGCCACAAGAGTATTAGTGAGGTCAGGTACTGATGTTGAATGATTAATTCTGGGTCACTCCAACTCATCCCAAAGCAATTGGTTGGAGCTCCATTATTTCAGAGAACGTAGTTCCACTGCTTCGCAGCCCTTTGCTGGGAGACCTTAAACCCCTCTAGCCGATGCTTGGCATTTGGCGTGGTGGTCTTAGGCTCATGTGCGGCCCATTCTGCTGGCCTTTTGCAACTTAAACACTCAGCAATAGGTGCAGCTAATAGTATTAGGAGAGATACTTGACAACTTAAGTGTGAGGTATTCTGGGATTTTCTTATAGCTTCATTTTTGGTGTTATAAAATCATATGGCATAAATTTCGGCACCCCTGGTCAAAGCTTTGTTGATTTTTTTAAAAGTGAAGATAAGTTAACACGTCCTCTTCAGAGAACTCACTTCTGCGCATTTTAATGTAAAATTAGTGTGTATTTACCAAATTTAACATGTTGCAAAAACTAAGTAACTTAATGTGGCCTGTGCAAAAAATATGGTACATTTATGTTTGTTTTATTTATTTATTTTTTTCGTCCGACATGATAAATTCAGCAAGTAAATAGAAATTGTGTTGTATTTCGTTGTGTTCTCTGCAGAGGATGTGTTAACAAGAAGAAAATCAAGGAAATGTGTCATTTGACTGGGCACAAATATTTATTTACAGCTTACTGAAACATCAAAAAAATGGCCTTCTGCCCAATCACTGCTGGGATAGGCTCCAGCAGCCAACCCCCCCACCCCCGCAACCCAGAAAGATAGGCAGCTTAGATAATATTTGTGTGTATACAACATGAAAAACATAGATTCCTAACTTTTTGCATTTTGATTCCAACCTTTTGAGCAGCAGTGTGTGATGTGGTTCGTGGAGCTTTTGAAAGCTCTGATTTATGTTATGTCAGGGACTTTCTTTACACACAGCTTTACAGGTCAGCAGAACTGGCCTTGACCCAGTTTATTACACACACATATAAACATACACACTATGGTCCTAACACTAGGAGCCTTCACTTGTTCTTTACCGAGGCCTCAGGTGAGTTTTGTGTGGAGTTGGGCGGACAGATAGAGGTTTTGTATGAAAATGCATTTCGTCCAAGACTTGATATGGAATACTGAATATAGTGATACACTATTAAAAATCATGTAAAATTACAGTAAAATGTAAAATTTACAGTAAAAATACTCTTTTAAAAACATTAGTTCCTTTATTCAGTGATAACTTGTACAGTACATAGGACGTTATTTTTACACTTATATTTCAAGTTTTTTCGGGGTTAGCTATGAGTTGTTATGTGATCAAAATACTGTGATTATCTATTTATTGTCATTTATAGTTATCAAATTATTCTCAGCTATTATGGAATCCTCTACAGCTCCGTTCATCAGTATAAACTTATCAAATTTTTTCTTATTTTCTTACAGCTCACTACACATCAATACACATTTATCTAACTGTTTTTTATTGAAAACACTGACTGCAAACTTTTGAACAGCAGTGTATATGAGTATAAGTGTATAAAAGGCTTTCATACCTGACATTTTTTCCTATTTTTCAGCCCCAACCCCAAATGAAATTCTGCGTTAAATACCATTAATTAAAGGAAAATAGTATTATTTCACAGTTGTTATGGTTATTTAACCAGATAAATGGGCCATTATTAAAATTTTACCCAGGTTCCCACATTACAAAAAATGTGGAAAGTGTTTGACTTTGAATATCCGTTTTTATAGTGAACTGAAGAATTAATTATATTTGTGCTCCTGACCTCAGTCTGACTTATCCTGTCTCTTTTTCCTCCCTCTGTTCTTTAGGATACTCTGTAGCGGTTGGGGAATTCACTGGTGATTCACAGCAAGGTGAAAATCCCTGTCTCTGTCTCTACTTATCTGTCTGTCTGTCTGTCTGTCTCTGTCTTATACCGACACATCAAGCAAGTAATTCAGCTTCAGTTTTTCATGAAGTTAAATGTTTGCGGGCGGCGCATGGATAAGTAAATTAAATAAAGGTAAAAAAAATTGGAAAGGAATTGAATTGAAACTGAAAGAAAACAGTCACACTGTGAGTTTTACCTCATTTTAGACACCCCAGTCCCTGATGGGAATTTGGCTCTGGAGTGTGTAAAACGACATGCGGTTTCTTATGGAGAATTGACTCGAGTGAGTGGTGGGAAATGAGTTCCTGAGAAACATAAAATATCCCCCCAGTCTTCGAGGGTGGCGAGCTAATCAAATTAGTTATTTAGAGCTGTCGCCATTCCAGCGTTAGAAGTAAGTGAAAAGTTATGTGTCCTTTAGCTTGTTTTCTGTGTGTGTGTGTGTGTGTGTGTGTGTGAGAGAGAGACTCTGTGTGTGGTAGTAATGGGGGCTTCATTGACTGTGTTGGGCTTTGATCATTCTGCTCAGTCTCAGCCCAAAATTACAGAGCACTCTGAGCTCTCTGTCAGAGAAACCAGCCTCTGCTCACCACACATCTGTCTGCTCTCTCGCCCTCTCTCTCTCTCACCCTCTCTCTCTCTCACTCTCTTTCTCTTTCTCTCTCTCTCTCTCTCCCTCTCTCTCCATCTCTCTCTCTCTCTCTCTCTCTCTCTCAGATACATATATCTCCCACTCTCTCTTGCTTTTTCTTTTCTTTTCTTTTTTCTTTCTTACTTTCTTATTTTCTTTATTTATTTCTTTTATAGTGTCTGCCCATCTGCCTTCTTCTCTCTCTCTCTCTCACAGATACGGATATGTCCATCTCTTTTGTTTCTTTCGCTTTTTTGTTTTCTTTCTTTCTCTCTCTTTTCTTTCTTTCTTTCTTTGCTCGTTTTTTTCTTTCTTTTTTGTATTCTGTTTCTTTTTCTCCCTTCCATTCTCTCTCTCTCTGTCTTTCTCTCACACTCTCTCTCACACAAATACTGGTATCTCACTATTTCTGTCTCGTTTGTTTAATTTCTTTTCTTTTTCTTTGTTTGTTTGTTTGTTTGTTTGTTTGTTTCTTTCTTTCTTTCTTTCTTTCTTTCTTTGTACCCATCTTCCCTTTGCTCTCTCTTTTTCTCACAAATACTGATATCTCACAATTTCTGTCTTTTTCTTTCTTTCTTTCTTTGCTCTTGTTTTTTGTTTCTTTTTTGTATTCTGTTTCTTTATATATTCTCTTTTTTCTCCCTTTCATTCCCTCTCTCTCTCTCTCTCTATCTTTCTCTCACACTCTCTCTCTTACACAAATACTGATATCTCACAATTTCTGTGAGATATATTCTGTGAGATATATTTCTTTTTTTCCTTTCTTTCCTTTTTCTCTCTCTTTCTTTCTTTCTTTCTTTCTCTCTTTCTTTCTCTGCACTTTGCTCTCTCTCTCTTTCTCTCTCTCTCTCTCTCTTCTCTCTCTCTCTGATACTGGGTCTGGTAGAGGTCTGCTGGGAGACTGGGGGAGAGGGAATTGCTGTCTGTGCTGTGTTAGTGGCTCTGTTTGTGGTGTGGTGTGTAGTTTGGGATGGGGGGCTGAAGTGGGGGGGGTATCAGAATGGGTACAGATGGGTAGAGCTGTTGCATTTTGGACACAGCAGGTTTCGATGAGTAGGAGAGGAGTGGGCTTTGTGTCTGGTAGAAGTACATAATACAACATTTGTGTATCATTATCCTGATATTGGCCTTTATATTATTAATACCACAGAAAGCTGCAGTTCGGAAATGAGTTTCTAACCAGTCGCTGGGTGTTTTGTTGTGTTCTGTGAGCATCTGTGATGTTCCTCAGCCTTAATCCACACATATTAGCTCCGTCCCAAAGCCTGGGCTGCAGCCGAGGTAGTGCGGGTCCTCGGTAGGACTGTCCTATGAGGACTCCTCCTTAGTAGCCTATTGGTCACACAAATGGAGCAGTTCTAACCTGCGTGGTGACGCCACCAGAACGTCGCCTCTTACAAAATGTAGGCTGCATTTCTAGGCTGTATATGGAGGGTCCTTCACTTTGGAATGGCCTGCTATGACGTAGCGGCCGAGACATGCAGCCTAGGCTTTGGAACGCAGCTGTTGTGTGTGGCACATGGGTCATTCTACAGAAACATCCACTTTTTTATCTGTCCATAGGAGTCATTGGTGTTACTGATCGTCATTGGTGTTACACATAAGAAACGGTAACACCAGAGACATTTTAATGAAAAATGCATTTCACAAAATCTCTGCTACAGAGCATCAAACCACATGTTGTCAATCATGGAATATCCACTAAAATATGAAATTTAATCCATTTGTGTTCTATTTTTTCACAATTACCTCAGAATAAAGTCGGTCACACCAGTGACTTCAGCTAAAAGCTTCATATGAAATCATGAGCTAAATGAGAAAATCTCTGACAACTGAAAGACACAGTGGACTCACCATGTGCTTTTCTTCATAGATCCTCAGAAAATAGGTAAAAGGAAGTCGAGTGATGTCATCAGTGTGACTTTTATTTCAAAATAAGAGATTTTTTGTTACACGGTAACACCAGTGACACGACTCCTGGGGAACTTTCGTTATATATTTTATAATTATATTCTATTTTTATTATATTTTTTTCTTTGTCATTTAAATCATATATTTCATAGTCATGTATAGATTATTGCAGTTAAAATTGCAGAAAAACATGTTTTTTTTTCTCAAAAAAGGCACTCAGCCTTTACACATGACTGTGAGGACGAGCAATTTTGTGATGTTTGGAATTCTAGATAATTGATTGAAAAACCAATATTGCTAAATTGAGGCTCAAGAAGCTGTAATTGTTAAAATAACTTATTGTTTTATTTTAAAATGTAAATAAATTGTAACCCTAATATGTTTTTCAAGTATAATATATCTGTAAACGCTAAGAACACAAAAAACGTTTCTGTAGAATGACCCACATTCAGGTGATTAAAGGAGAAGAATGACAGCTGCTTTTTTGTCTCAGTTTTGGAGGATCTTTACATCGTACAAGGATCAAAGATCAATACATTGTAAGGCATGTCGCACTATGTAGCAATGCAAACGCAACATGTTCGTTTGGCTATATCGTAGAGCCCTGGTCTGGTCTTACTGGGTGGTGCTGGGTGCTGTCACACACACACACACACACACACACACACACACACACACCCACACACACTCCATTCCCATCACTGCACTCATCCATCAGACAGCAGTCTTCTCTTCCTCTCTCACTCCATCTCCCTCGGTCTGTGTCTCTCTCTCTCCCTTAAATATTTATGTGGGAATGATTGACGCGGTGCTGATAGAGACGAACTCTCCAAAACTCACCATCCTCACCTCACTGTTTACCCCCAGATAACCCTGATAAAGTGTCTGTGTGTGTGTTTTACAGAAAGAGAAGCAAAGCTCTGCTAACACATAAACAAACGCACACACACAGGGCCTCTCACAGCACAGGAAGTGACCATGTTTGTGTTAGTTTTCTCTCTCTGAGATGGAGTCAGTTTCTTCAAGTAATAATAACCAAAGATGTATAAAAGCTACTGGCGTGTGTAAACGTCTTAAGAATCTGTATGTCTGTATACTTATGGCCTTTTTTCATGCTTTTGTCCTCAGAGCTGGTGGCAGGGGGTACCACGAGGAGCGCAGAGCTTCGGTTATGTAAGTACACTTCACCTAACCTAACTAACCTCGCGTTTCACATGACGTCACGCTGTATAGTCGCCGCCGTTTTGAGGGCCGAATCAGGGAGTGACTGCGCTGCACGGTGTGCAAGATGCGACAAAAGCTAAGAAAGACAAGATCTTTAATTCAGTGTTTTCAGACTCCAGGCTTGGAGCTCCTGCACTGTATAGTTTAGTGTTTCTCTCTGCTGTTCACCTCGTTCAGCTCAGGAAGGGATTAATTAGCTAATAATATCAGGTATTTTAACCAGGAAACCACAGTTATGCAGTGCAGGGGTTTCAGACTGGAGCTGAACTCTGAACTAACTGCACTAGCAAACTTACAGAATCACGTCTGTCGAAACACGACGTCGTTTTCCGAACCCACGACATTCAGTCTGATATTTAACGCTTATGTTTCTCCATTTAAACCTCATTTAAATCTCCAGAAACAGAGAGTAAAGTTATCACCGGCGGTCTGCAGCTCCGTTAGGGGGACGACTGTTCATCTCTCGGCTGTTAACATCAGCTAAAGTTATCTAAAGGCCAGCATTGATCACATCTGTGTTAATTAGCTGATGTCGTTCCTCCTATGATCACAGAGCTATCTCCTCTTTATGCAACACCATGGGATCCTTTACCCACCCTGACATGAAGAGCCGGTGGGCTTCTGTGCTTTTAACTGCTTTGAGAGACTCTCCAGAACAGGGAGAATATGGAAGGGGGAGATTTTTTTGGGCATGCAGTTTTAATGATGCTGATTGGTGGGATATAACTTTTAGCTACATTAGCTGCGTGGCTCTACTTCAGATACTAAACATGTACTGGCTGATCATCTACCTTTGGTGTATGGGAGACATTCTCTTTAAGACGAGTTTGAAAGAGGTTAAAGGCGGTCTGACTCTAAGGGAAGAGTCAAGGATGTGTAAATGTGCGTCAGCATGCTCGTCTAGGTTAGTGCCCCTGCCTCACCTCATCTGGATGCTATTTTAGATGTTATGAAGGGATCCCAGGCTGGACTGTACTATGCCGGGCTTTGAGGACGGGGTCCTCCCCTTCTGGCTCTGATTTAGACTCAACCATTGGAAGTCAGATACGGGGATTTCGTATTAAACTTGTGGTATGTTTTCTCTGCCCCTAATGATCTTGCGTGATGCGCGTCAGGCTCAGTTTGATTTTAATGTCTTAGTCAGAAATGCCACACAAAGCTTCAATAAAGCAACTCTGGCTGTAATTATTACGCTACTAAGACTCTGACATAGGGAGAGCCGCTCGGCCTTGGCAGAAGTTGTTGTTTGCATGCCTACATTACCATAACTCTGCAATACATGTGGATCTGTCATATGGTTGAAATGTTTTATGTTTGAGTTAATCTTATTTTTCTTTTTTAGGTCGCTGTGATTAACTCCACAAATCTGACCTTCATTCAGAATTTCACTGGAGAGCAGGTCAGTTTATTCCAGCGTAAAGACACTAATACAGACTTCAACTTTTCCCCAACGTGAGACTGGAATGAACATGGATGTGCATATATGGTCATGTGCAAGAGCACTGGCCACTTTATTAGAAACACCTACCTTGTACTTGAACTCTCTGGCCACTTTATTAGAAACACCCACCTTGTACTTCAGCTCTGTGGCCACTTTATTAGAAGCACGGACCTTGTACTTCAACTCACTGGCCACATTTTTAGATACACCGGCCTTATACTTCCACTCATTTGCCACTTTATTGGAAACACTGACCTTGTACTTTTACTAACTGGCCACTTTTTTAGAAACACTGGCCATGTACTTCAACTCATTGGCCACTTTATTAGAAACATCTACCTTGTACTTCAGCTCACTGGCCACTTTATTAGAAACACCTACCTTGAACTTCAGCACACTGGCCACTTTATTAGAAACACCCACCTTGTACTTCAACTCACTGGCCACTTTACTAGAAACACCTACCTTGAGCTTCAGCTCACTGGCCACTTTATTAGAAACACCCACCTTGTACTTCAGTTCACTGGCCACTTTATTAGAAACACCCACCTTGTACTTCAGCTCACTGGCCACTTTATTAGAAACACTTACCTTGTACTTCAACTCTCTGGCCACATTACTAGAAACACTGACCTTGTACTTCAGCTCACTGGCCACTTTACTAGAAACACCCACCTTGTACTTCAGCTCACTGGCCACTTTACTAGAAACACCCTACCTTGAGCTTCACTCACTGGCCACTTTATTAGAAACACCTACCTTGTACTTCAGCTTCCTGGCTTTGGTTAAATATACGCTTTCTGCTTTCTTTTTTACTTGATGGCTGTTTTAACAGGGAATTAAATTAATGAAGGGCTGGTTTCTGACTTTTGTATGATTACAGACTCGATCCCCTCTGTTGCTGAACATTAAACAGACTCTTTCTACCCCATTCATCGTTGGTCAGTTTGTGACCACAGGATTGCTGTTGTGCAGATATTATTTGGGTGTTGGACCATTCTTAACACAGCAGTGACCCTGACGTGGTAGTATATAGTGCTGGTACCAATGTATCCAACCCAGAATCGTCCAACCAAGAGTGGCTCTGTTTTTAATAAAGTGGGCCTAAATGTATATCTTTGTCATGTATCAGTACCCCTGACCGAGAAAAACAGAGTTCCCAAAACATGCATATGATTTTAATAATGCTGATAAAGGCTTTAGAAAAGTGTCCCCTTTGTTGTGGAATACAATATACGTGCATTACCTTTGGATTAAGTGGATTTCTTTTTACTGTAATCAAATATGTGAACATGTATTCTCACAAATTATGTCTCATGTGGTCTGTGCCAGAGTGCATGATTCGATTTTAGTTGACGCAACATTGTTTCTCATAGATGGCCTCATATTTTGGATACACTGTGGCAGTGACTGACCTGAATGGAGATGGGTAAGTAGTTAAGGCACACACACAATACAGTCACAATTAGACAAGGGTGAAGAATGGATTAGTACAGGAATGTATTCAGCACCAGCTTCATAATTCATTCATTCATAATGAAAAGTGAGTTTATTCCTCGCTTAAAAGAGTGTAACAACACCAGCGTCATCACCGTCACGCTTTCTTCACCCACAGTGAGACTAGATCCTCTTATTTGTCTTGTTTTGTCTTGTTTTTGTTTGATTTGTTGAATTGAAGTGCAAATTGGGGTTTTTTACGAGGTGTGTGTGTAGTTGGACATGAGCTTTGGGTTTAGGACTGTTTTGAGACTTTAATGGCTTCTTAATTCTGTTATCTGTGTCGTCCACAGATGAAGTCAGATTTATGAGGTGGACTTTTGTTTGGATGTTTGTGTATTTGTTGTTGATTTGGTCATTGAGGGACAGAATGAACACCAGATGAAGCAATATAGCAATGCCAAAAAGACAAATTTAGTCTTCTCTTCTCTTCTCTTCTCTTCTCTTCTCTTCTTCTTTTCTCTTATCTTCTTTTCTCCTCTCTTCTCTTCTTTTCTCTTCTCCTGTTCTCTCTTCTCTTCTCTTCTCTTCTCTTCTCCTACTCTTCTCTTCCTTCCTCTTCTCTTCACTCCTCTTCTTTTCTCTTCTCTTCTCCTGTTCTCTCTTCTCTTCTTTTATCTTCTCCTCTTATCTCATCTCTTCTCTTCTCTCCTCTTCTCTTCTCTTCTCCTACTCTCCTCTCTTCTCCTCTCTTCTCATCTCCTCTCTTCTCTTTCTTCTCTTTTTTTATCTTCTCCTCTTATCTCATCTCTTCTCTCTCCTCTTCTTCTCTTCTCCTACTCTCCTCTCTTCTCCTCTCTTCTCATCTCCTCTCTTCTCTTTCTTCTCTTTTTTTATCTTCTCCTCTTATCTCATCTCTTCTCTTCTCTCCTCCTCTCTTCTATCCTCTCCTCTCTTCTCTTCTCCTCTCCTCTCCTCTCCTCTCCTTCCCTCTCCACTTTTCTCTTCTCTTCTCTTCTCCACTGCTCTCCTCTGTTCTTCTCTTCTCTTCTCTTCTCTTCTCTTCTCTTCTCCACTGCTCTCCTCTTTTCTTCTCTTCTCTTCTCTTCTCTTCTCTTCTCTTTTCCACTGCTCTCCTCTGTTCTTCTCTGTTCTTCTCTTCTCTTCTATTCTCTTCTCCACTGCTCTCCTCTGTTCTTCTCTTCTCTTCTCTTCTCTTCTCTTCTCTCTCATCTGTTGTCCTCCTCTTGTTGTCTGAGTGTATTCTGTGTTTGTGCTGTGTTTGAGTAAGGTGGTCTTTGTGTCCTCTTTGGGGTCTCCCTCTGTTGAGTCTGTGGTTTCCTCTCTGGTCTTTATGGACAGATAGACTGATTGCCTGTGGTCTCTCTCTGACTCGAGATCGTAGCTGGAAATGTAGCGTGGTGATGTTTGAGTTTATGCTGTGTTCGCCATTAACTCCAGCCCTGTGTTTACCCCGTAATGCACACACTAACAGCCCCCAGAGCTCACGGTGCCAAACACAAAAGCCACTAAGCACGGAATGCAGAGCAATGAACCAACAGTGGCTTTACTGCAGCTTTGAGTCTGCGCCAGCGCGGAGCGTTTGAATGTATCGTAACAATAGCCGAAGAAATGGACGATTGGTTTGAAACCATGCAAAAAAAGAAAGAAAGAAAAAAGAAAGCATAGACTAAAGTCGTCTGTTTGTTTTCCTGTCTGATAAGACTTTAATCAGAACAGAGCGCCACACTGTTTGTTTGGTCGCTTGGTTGGAATGTAGAACACAGTAAAGCTACGTTACATCACTGAGCTTCAGCCCCGTCACACAGAACCGCACAGCCTGACACACGAGAGAACAGCCTCTCTCTCTCTCACTCTCTCTCTCTCTCTCTTTCTCTCTCTCTTTCTCTCTCACTCTCTCTCTCTCTCTTTCTCTCTCTCTCTTTCGCTCTCTCGCTCTCTCTTTCTCTTTCTTTCTCACTCTCTCTCTGTTCTCTCTCTCTGTTTCTCGCTCTCTTTTTCTCTCTCTCTCTTTCTTTCTCTCTTTCTCTCTCTTTCTTCTCTCACTCTCTCTCTCTTTCTCTCTCTCAAGTTCAAGTTCAAGTTTGCTTTATTGACATGACAAATGTACAGTTTGTATTGTCAAAGCACAACAAAAATGATCTATATATCAAAAGTTAATAAAAAAAATAAAAAACAAACAATAATAATAATAATCATAATAATTGTAATAATAATAATATAATAATAATAATAATAATGGACATCTGTATTACATATATACATATATAACAGTGAGTAAAAGAAAAAGGCTGTGGTTTGGTGGTCACTCACTGTCCAGGAGCGTATGGCACTCGTACACATATCTGGCTGCAGTGGACGCTGAAGGACCCTCTCCTAATATAATTACTGATTTATCTTCATCTCCCAACGTCCTGAAGTTGTTGTTGCTATTTGTTTTTCAAATTGATTACAGTATTTATTTCTCATAGATTCATATTTTGGGCAGTTTAGTAGGAAGTGCACCTCTGTCTCTACCTCACCTGTCCTGCAGTGACCGCACACTCTCTCCTTCAGACCAGCACACTTCAGTGGGATGCTGGTCCCATCTAGTGTAGTCATGATGACTGAGTGGACCCCAGACTTCACTACCATACAGCACAATAGGCTGGACTGCACTGTCAAAGATCTTTGTCCAGATTCTAATTTGGATATTAATCTTGGAGAATTGTTTCCTGATTGAGTTGAGGCTCTGCAGGCCTTTTCTTTCAGTGCATTCACTGCCAGCCCGAAGCCTCCTGAGGCACTAATCTTTAGTCCCAGGTAATCATATGAAAGCGTTTGATCCAGGGCGGCGTCACCTAGACTGAACACATATCTGCTGTCCTGAGATCTGGCTTTCTTTTGGAAGATCATGACTTTAGATTTGTTTGGGTTTACTGTCAGGGCCCAGTTCTGACAGTACTGCTCTAGCAGATCCAAGGGCTGCTGTAGCCCCTTTTCAGTGGGCGACAGCAGCACAAGGTCATCTGCGTAGAGGAGAAGTTTAACTTCCGACTGGTTTGGCGTCAGGCCAGGTGTTGCAGATCGCTCCAGTAACACCGCTAACTCATCAATGTACATATTAAATAGAGTAGGGGACAAGCTGCAGCCCTGTCTGACACCACAGCCCTTGAGTGAAGAGATCTGTCATTTTATCGCCAATTTTTATTCCACATTTATTATTGATGTACATTGATTTAATGATGTCATAGACTTTACCTCCTACACCGGTTTGGAGAATTTTGTAACGTAAACCTTCTTGCCAAATAGAATCAGAGGCTTTTTTAAAATCTATAAAAATGCAGAAACTTTTCTCTTATTTTGTTGGTGAGTATGTTGGTTGGTCAGGGTGTGTAGGGGGTAAATATGGTCGGTAGTGCGATGATTTGGTAGAAAGCCAATTTATCCTTTACTGTTCGGTAAGGAAGCCCCAGGTTGCTGCTCACACAGATGCCTCGGTAGTTATTAGGGTCCAGTTTGTCTCCACTCTTGTAGATTGGGGAAATAAGCCCCCAGCACCAAATCTCAGGAAAGAGAGCTCTCACTCTCTCTCTCTCGCTCTCTTTTTCTCTCTCTCTCTCACTCTCGCTCTCTCACTCACGCTGTCTCTTTCTCTCTCTCTTTCTCTTGCTCACTCTCTCTCTTTCGTTTTTCTTTCTTTTCTCTCTTTTTTCTCTCTCTCTCTCTTTCTCTTTCTTTCTCTCTCTTTTTCTTCCTTTTTTTCTTTCTTTCTTTTTTACTTGCTTGCTTTCTTTCTTACTTTCTCTTTCTTTTTTCTTTCTTTTTACTTTCTCTTTCTTTTTCTTTCTTTCTTTCTTTTTCTTTCTCTTTCTTCCTTTCTTTTTTCTCTTTCTTTCTTTCTTACTTCCTCTTTCTTTCTTTTTTCTTTCTTCTGTTTCTTTCATATTCTACTCTTTCTTTTCTTTCTTTGACTCTTGTTTGTTTGTTTGTTTGCTTAATATATTTGTGTCTTATTTTTTTGTTTTTAATTTCTCCAACTCTCTTTTGTTCATTCATTTTCTTTTTGTCTTTTTTACATTTTTATCTTTGATTTTCTTTTTTTTACATATTTGTTGTCATAGCCTTCTTTTTTCCTTTTTTATTTTTCTCTCATAGTTTTCTTGTTTTCCTTTTCTATATTTCTTGCTGTTTTTAATTCTTTTTTCTATTATATCTTTTTTGTGAATCCTCTTTTTTTCCTTAGTTTCATTCTTTCTTTCGTCCTTTTTTTCTCTTTCCTTTCTTCACTCTTCTGGCTTCAGGTCTGCTGTGTTCAGAGATGCAGGAAAATTCGGCCTCCATCCTTCCATAAATACCCCAAACCATTTCTCAGCATTTTCAGCGTCTGATCCCAAAGAGGACGTTTTTATTTGAGCCATCAATCTCACTGCAGTTATGGCTTCTGACATTCTGTGGCGTGGTCTGTCTGACGCTGGCTGGCTGGACTGATGCCGATTTGATGGCTTCATGTTTTATACTGGATATTCTATAGTGCTTATGTCCAGTTATGGGTCCTGCACTCTTTCTATATCAGTCCATCAGTCTCAGGACTGACGTAAGTGGGGACTCAACGCGTGTCTTATAAAAGACTGATGGTGTTGTGTACATATGTGTGTGTGTGTGTGTGTGTGTGTGTGTGTGTGTGCTCTTCTGCTGACCTCTTTGTAGGAAGCCAAGCATCTTGAAAAGTTCATTTGTGTGTTGCTGTACTTATGGACTGTGTGCCAAATTACATATTTTGTTGAATTTTGAAGTGAAAACATAGTAAACACAATGTCTGCAGTAAACCATAAAAAAGGCCTCAAAGCTTAATGAACTCCTTAGGCCAAGAATGTCCACTCTTATTTATAAAGGGTCAGTGTGGCTGCAGGTTTTCGTTTCAAACAAGCAGGATCACACCTGATTCTACTTGTTTAATCAGTTGGCCTCGGCCTTCAAACTGATCATCTGCACTAATCCTTTGTGGGTAAGATTGGACACCCCTGCTTTAGCCTTAATTGACTCATTACAACAAGTTATGCAGGTCAAGAATCATTATTAGGAATTGTGAGCTAAAGACAATTCGAAAACTTAAATCCTCATGGGCCCCTCTAAGAAGCTGGCTGAGGGTCTGAAAATGAAGCTGATTGATGCCCACAAAGCAGGGGAAGGCTATAAAAAGATGTCAGAGCGTTTCCAGCTCACTAATTTCACTGTCCGATTTGTCATTAACCATCTGGGGTTCACGGCTTACTTTTGTTTTGCTCAGAAGGGTGGTGTTGTTCCGTCAAAAAGTCAGGAACACAGCCTGTGATTAGTCGACAAGTCAGGAACACAGCCTCTGTTTAGTCAACAAGTCAGTGAGACACCCTCTGATTGGTTGACAAGTCAGGAACACAGCCTCTGATTGGTCAACAAGTCAGGAACATAGCCTCTGATTGGTCGACAAGTCAGGAACACAGACTCTGATTGGTCAACAAGTCAGGAACACAGTATCCGATTAGTCAACAAGTCAGCAACACAGCCTCCGATTAGTCAACAAGTCAGGAACACAGCCTCTGATTGGTCTCCAAGTCAGGAAGGCTCTGATGTAAAAGTCATCGGAAGGCAAGCTTACCTGTGACCTCATCAAGTCAACACCTGAATTATGCAAATCGCAATGGAAATAAGCCAGAGGCATTTTGGAAGCAAATGCTGTAGACTGATGAAATAAAAATGGAACTCTTAGGCCACAGTCATGAAAGGTATACTTGGAGACACAAATGAGCAGCATTTGATGTGCCAACTGTTAAGCATGGAGGTGGATCTACTATGGCAACAAGTAGTACAACAAACATTCCATAAGTAGATGGAAGAATGGATTCCACTAAATATCAGCGAATTATGGAAGCAAATGTAACCCAGTAGATCAAGAAACTGCAGCTGAAAAAAGGACTGGCTTCTACCACAGGGCACTGACCAAAACGTACCTCAAAATCCACCATGAACTACTTCAACCCCCACAGTCCCCCTGACTTAAACATGCTGTGCAAGAATGCACATGAGTATCACAGAGCTGGAAGCATTCTGCAAGGAAGAGTGGCATAGAATTCCTAAAACAACAACTAAGGACTGACTTAGTAGGGATGTCCAAAGTTCTGCACATACCATAATGACTGTTGAATGAAATCGTCAAATATATCAAAACTGTGAATTAACATTTGCAGAAAAATGTTATTCTAAATTGTTGCAGAGGTTGTGTTTACTGCTTTTTTGCTTCAAAAATCAACAAAAGGTAGCCTGGCCAGGAGTGCCCAAGCTTTTTAAGATTAAGAGACCCTTGTTAGTCCCACAATGGGGAAGTTTCACCTCCGCAATCTAACCCATCTCTGCAGTGAAACACCACATACACACTAGTGAATGTACACACACACTAGGGGGCAGTGAGCACACTTGCCCGGAGTGGTGGGCAGCCCTATCCGCAGCGCCCAAGGAGCAGTTGGGGGTTAGGTGCCTTGCTCAAGGGCATTTCAGTCTCGTACTGTCGGCTCAGGGGATCGAACCGACGACCTTCTGGTCACAGGGCTGGTTCCCTAACCCCCTACCCCATGACTGCCCACATGGGCTGGGTACATAGTTGCATACAACTATATATAGTTGCGCAATTATATGTAGTTGTATGCAACTATATATGCGCTTAGGCTCCAGCACCCCACCGCGACCCAGAAGGATAAGCGGTTTAGATGATGTGTGTCTGTGCATGTGTGTATATATGTGCTGAGATGGACTAATAAACATATATGTATATAAATTTGTGTGCTTGTCTGTAGGTTGGATGACGTTCTGGTGGGAGCTCCTCTCTACATGGACCGCGAGTTTGAGAGTAAGCCGCGGGAAGTGGGCAGAATTTATCTTTACCTGCAGGAGGACGCGCTCCTCTTTTCTCCTCCCATCACTCTGACCGGTACACATGTGTTTGGACGCTACGGCAGCGCCATCGCTCCACTCGGAGATGTCAACCAGGATGGCTACCTGGGTAAGTGTGTGTAGCCATTTTCTCGCTTAGAGTGTCGTGTTACTAGCATACCTTTATCGGTAATGTTCAGGCTTTGCATCGTTTGTACTTAATTCTTTTTCACAGTATCCATAAAATGCAATTTTCACCTATTTTGGAGGCGGTTCTGTGTGAAAAAAGCTGCACTTGTGAGAGACGTGGTTTGTTTTCACAGCAGCCTGATTCATTTGCGTAAACTTTTTGACGCACCGCACAGTCATGCATGAAAAAGAGTAGGATACGCTGTGGTGCTTTGAGCTGCTGGAGCAAAGTAAATGCAGCGTTAATCTAGGACGGTCAAAATATCCTCATTGCCATTAGCTTAGCACTAACATACTACTAAAATCCCATAGGGGTGCTAGTAGAAATTAGCATTCTAGTAGGGGTGCTTTATTTCTTAGGTTTTTTATAAAGGTTTTTCACATTTTTGGCCCGTCCTGAAGGCCTAGCTCTAATAATCATAATAATAATAAGTTCTCCACTGCAAATAATCAACATTTGTTGCCCTATTGTGTGTATTTTTGGCATCCAGCATGTCAAAAGTCATTCTTTCTCCTCCTCCACACTTCCTAATCTTCTCGGGCTGTGTTTTGTCTTGGATGAAGAGGATATCCTATCTTCAGACCAAGTGCTGAGAATGAAAAGCTCTTCAGCCAATCAGGATTTAGGAGCTTAGCTAGTGACCCCCATGACCCTGTCACTGGTTTCCTGTTAGGACTCACTCCAAAAACGTGTGTGTGATGCGTATGTCTGTGCGTTTGTTTTTTGTTTTGCTGTCTTTGTGGGGACCGAATTTAGATATAAATACAACAAAACATTAAAAGTGTTCTTTAAATGTTCCTGGTTCGTGTGAACATGAAAGTCTTTTCTTATGTGCAATAATCAGCAATAATCATAGTAGATGAATAGCGTTCGGGGGTGCACGTCTGTGTGTGCGTGTGTTTCAGCTATTTTTACTCCGCAGATGTGTGAGATATGAGTCCTGAGTTTACATTCTTTAGCTCAGTTTGTTTTTGTGTTTATTTTCTCTGTCTGCTTGACTCACTCAACCCAAGAGCCGCTCTCTGTGTCGCTCTCTGAGTCACTGTAAGAGTATCTTCATTAAGGCTGTGGTAAGCCAATTAAACTCAGTTATGAGAACAAATGATAAGTAAAATCTGCCTAAATCTGTGGGTTGGGTGTGTAATGATACACAAAATCCATTATTTGTTTTGAAGCGATACAGTAGTTTCTTAATTCGGTGCATTTTTGGTACAGCTAAAAAAAGCAGTGGCTGAAAAAGTGCAAAAACAGTGCAGTACTTGGTTGTGTCCTGCTCTAATGCTCCTGCAGCGAGCTAATATGTTAGCCCCAAGTGATACAATACAATACTCCAATCTGCGATACAACACAAATCCGATTTTTTGCCCTAATGTGACTCAGATCTGATGTTTTCAGGGCTGTGTGGACACAAATCTGATCTTTTCAAATCCAACCTGAGCCACTTTCATATGTGGTCCAAGATTGGATACGTATCCAATTCGTGGCCATGTGACCTTAATGTGACGCTCAGATCGGAATTCATGTGCTTTTTTTCCACTGCGCCATCATTCAGTGTTACCATGGCAGCAGCACCAAACAGAAGTTAAAGCCTGTAAACGGTGGAAAAGCAACACATCTCACCTTTTTCTCCTTCGTCTCGCTCTAATAATGAAGCTGAGAGCTGATCAGAGTTAATTACCTTCTCAGCGAAGCTCGTTCTGCTCGTTAGTTTGTGCTGATGATGAACGTGATTCATTCACGTGACGTTACTGAGTAGGATGAGCTCAGGAGGGTCATTTCAGGACGCCGGTTCATCACATTAATGACAGATTTGAATCACTTACCTACATGAATGTGAACCTGAGCAAAACATCGGAGTTGAGCAATGAGACTCGTAAAGCGGACGTAGCCAAAGACCATAATAGGATAGATCCAAAGCTTTTCTTTAGTTTCCTTCCCAATCAGCTCGTGGTTTGGTTGTCATGGTGGCGCTGCATGTTGTTTTCAACAGCTCTTCCTACTTTAGAAAGGAAACGGGTGCAAGGGCAGGGATCAGGCCTAACTAATCACACACAGGTGCAGTCAGACCAATATAATCACTCACAGAAACTGTAGTAGGCATTGAATCAGGGGGAAAAAAAGCTGTGAATCTCTGATCTTTACCAAAGTGACTGTATACATCCACACATGCATACGTTACTTGAATGAAGGTCGACACGAGACATGAGGTTAAAACGTGCGTCCCATATACTGCCAAAGATATGACACACACATTCTCTATCTCTCTTACACAAACACACATGCTTGAATCCTGACGTAAGCTGTAACCTGAACACATCAGTCCTCTGGTGTGTGTCGAGACAGATGTGATGTCCAGTGCAGGTTCTGTTCTGGTAACCAAACACGCTGTGTGGAGACAGCACCAGGGACTCGTTATAGATTGTTGCCATATGCACTTGGGACGCTGCTATGAGACAATGCTTTGGGAAGTCTTTGAGAGCGATGGCCAAATCAATATTTGATATGGATATTTATCCCTCTAGCCGATTAACTGGCTTATGCTAACATTCGTCATTATGTTTATTCTATGTTTGGTTCTGACCGAGGAGTGCTTGCCAGATGATGTGTATGTCTGTTACGGCTACTCATAGAAGAATGTCTCTCTTAGCTTATTTTGCCGTTTTCTCACAAGGGGTGGGCATTTAAGCAAAATTTGTAGGACGTTATTTGAAACATATTTGAAACCCCCCCCCCCCCCCCCCCGCCGCTGGGTAAAAAGGCTGGGACTGGCTGTTTCATTTCCATTCAGCATCATATTGAAAGTTCCGCATGTTGGACTCCGGATGAGTCACGTAATCAAAAGCAACAAAAATGGAGATACAAGGTTTTGTTACAATATAAAGCAACCAATCTAAAGTCTGTGCGATCAACAGACAGATGCTAATCATCTGTTGCAACGTCATTTCAGGAATTTATCACTTTTGGTGAACTTGATTTTCATCAGATGCTTCCTATGTGCTATAACTGTGCTTTGTACCATGTGTACACTTCTCGTCTAGTGTGCGGAAGCTTTAGAAGGCTGCCGTAGTCACATAAGCAGTTCTGTTTGAGATTACTTAACTCGATGTGGTGTGAGGCAAACGTGATTTAGGAATGTAGTGTACAGTGTGCTTTTAGGCTTGCTTCCTTAACATGTTGGCTATGTCAGCCCTGTTCAGTGGAAAAGAAGCGAAGTTCAATTTTTTTGGCCGACACATCGCTTTACCTTAGCTAACGCTGCAAGCTTTGTCACACCATAGCTTATGTCACCTCAAACCTTTTAGCTTAAAAGCTCAGTTGTCAGCAACATGCGACTCTTTTACTGCCCTGTTGTGGCTCCACAGCAGAATTAGATATTTAGGTAAAGATAATCGTCCTTTGCACTAAAATAAAGCTCTGCTGATCGTTGTAACACAGTTTTAACAATAAATGGTCTTTAACGCTGGAGTTAATGTAGAACTGCTAATTCACCCTTTAACCGTGAGGGTTGGCACGCAGACTACTGGTCACCATAGTAATGCAGATAACAATCCCACCTTGCTAGTAGCTAACAAAGGAAAAGAGAAAGATTTAAGATGAACATCGATAATTTGGAGACAAATTGAGTTATTTGCATTTATAATCACTCCAGCTGGTTTCCTGATACGTTTAATCTGCAACAGTACGCTGCCAAACACTATAAAGTGATGAAGCTGAAGGCAGTTTCTCATTCAGATTTTCCTGTTCCACCTTAAAAGGTGCAGCAAGTACATTCTGATGCTAAACAAGATGACGGCGAACAAGATGCTGACTTCAGCCTCGTAAAAAGTCAAACGTTGAAAGACATTTTACAAGAAACTGTTCTACGTTTATGGATTAAGTTTCCCGCTGGAGATGCGAGTAAAGTGACTGTAGCTGAGCTAAAGCTTAAACATCAGCACAGACTGAGACAGATTTACAGCCAAGATGGTAAAATGGACATAAAATGTTGTGGCTCTCAAGGTGGTTAGATTTTTGTTGAAAGGACAAAATGGCTCTTCTTAACATTTGGAATTTTTTAAGTTTTATTCTATTTATTCCACATGAGTGGAATGTAAAGTGAACTTGAGCTTGACTTTTATCAGGGTTTTACTGCAACACTTCCTATGTGCTATAACTGGGCTTTGTATCTGTTGCAGGCGCAGCGCTTCTCATCTGGGATGCGGTAGCCTATAGATTTCCTAAACGAGCGTGAACCATTTGTGTCTCAGATCGCACTTGTTATTCTGTTTTCTTTATCAGATTAAATAGATTTAAGCCCCTCTGACCAAAACATAAGATGCAGGCCTGGCCCCATGGTGGAGTTCAGACAGTTTATGATTCTTAAATATGAGAACGTATAACATTAAGGAGAAGCGAAATTGCTTATGAAATTCTAATTTACTGTTCATTTTTTTTAACTTTTATAACTATTTGAAGTCAACATTTCCCTATTTTCTACAGAAGTATAGTAAAGACTTAAAAACTATGAAATAGAGCTCTGCACTGGACTTTTTTGCTCCCGCAAGATTTTATCCGGCTCCTGCAGAAAATCGGGACCATTTGTCCCGCTCCCGCCTGCAACCGGAACGTTTGTCCCACGCCTGCCTGACTTAGTCTATTCAGAAATGCATTATTCTCTGCCGAGATAACACAGCAGTCACGGTCATCAGGCTGACTGTGAGTAACTTTGGTATTTTGCTAGGCAGCTATGGGCGTCAAACTGAAGGCTCTGCCGTCTCTGTAAGCTACAAGAATTTCTTCGCTGTTCATGTGATCGGTTGCTTCGTAACTCTTTAGAATGACTTTATTCATTTTAATTGTTTTACTGTTTCATTAAATATTGTTTATATAGATGATTTAGTGATTGTTTTATCTTATTTAGGCTGTTAATTTTGCATGCTTCGTCACGTCACTGCAGTGGG